TTCTCTCTGCCCTTCTGCCCCTAACTATATTCTGCCTGTAACTTGATTTCTTCCAGATGTATACATGAAGAATTAATATACAAACTGTGCTTCTTGGATAAAGAAAAAAAAATTAAAATATTCATGCTGTTATAACTGTGGCAATATATGCTATGGTCTGTGATTGTGAAAACTTCAGGGATAGTTTTTGTCCCATTCACCAGTGAAAGGCCTTTCTTGCAGTTTTCTCCTCTCCATTAGACAGCAATTTTTGTTTGAAAATAGTTAGTGCTGAATGCCTGAGAGACCACTGGCTTTTACAATGTCCCTGCTCATCTAATCCACGTTCTGTGTTTCCAATGTCTGAACCAGTGGTGAGAAATGAAATTGCACATTATATTTTTTTTTTCAGTCACTATCAAAGATTTTGAAGTTTATATCAGTGACTAAACTTAATTTCCTGATGTATTACCATAAAATGATGGTGTTGAAGACGAAAGTTAAAATGACCCAATACTCTCCTCTCTCAAAATAAAAAATAAACAATGAAAATACAGTACTGTTTCCTTGCTAATTTAGTAATAGTCTTGTCTTAAATTTAGACAGTTATATTTTCTAGAGTCATGTTTATTAAGTTTCCTGTATTGTGAGCTGCTCTGCAAAAAATTCTCCAGGCTGTCAAGGCTAGGTGGTGGTGAAGCGCTGAAGCTGAGCCAGCCGCCTGCGAGGCTCCTTTGAGGGAGCACCTGGATGATCTGCTCCTGCCTCTCAGCACCAAACAGGCACAGCTGCCCAGATTTCCCAGTGCTGGGCCAACATAACCATCATGGTTACGTTGCTCTTGAGAGCTCAAATGGCAAAAGCCTTGATTGTTGACAGCAAAACCCTCTCTCTTGGTATCAGCAATGCAGGGGAGCTTCCTGTGTTGCTTTCCCTCTTTGTTATCTGAGAATATTCTGAGGTCTAGAAGTAAAAAGAAGAATAGGTTTCAGTTACTAAACCAAGATATCAACAAAAGACTATTGTTTTTTGCAAGGTTGAACCTGTATCTTTATTAAGTAAGGAATCATTGAATTCAGTTTCTCAGTGGTCTCTTGGTTTGTGATTCTGATTAATAAGATGTACTTTCTTGCAGCTTTCTCTTCTTCCACTAGATATATTTTTGAATTTTGGAAAAGAGAGCATTTTGAATTTTGCTTTTCTTTTGCAGTACTACTATCCTATCTTTTCTTTTTTCTGTCAGAACAAGGCTTACATGGCTCATTGCACCTATGCATAGCAAAAATTTGATTTCTAATTCCTGTGAAATTTTCTGTAGGTCAGAACCATGCTTTTTGAAAATGTATTCTGTAAGGACTTGTTTAGAATAGGCGATTTTTCTCTGAAAGGTAACCTTAGCATTGCCCTGACCTTTATGAATTTGACTTGGAAATTACTATTGCAGAGTTCAGAGAGCATGCTTTCCTCAAAAATATTTTCTTAGGATGCTGTGACAGTCTCAGCAGCTGCTATTTTTGGACCATTTCATTTAATATTAATCACTTGTGGAATCTTCAGCAAGTACATTTCACAAAGAACATGACTGAGTCTTTTTCATTTGTAGATGAATACAGATGTGTTTTTGCCTATTTCTTTAAAGATTAAAGTCTGTCTTTTTTTTGGACTTGAGTTAGAACTTGTGAATTTTATTGCCTTTATCGGGATAGGTGCTGGCATTTAAGGAATCACACTCTTGACTTTCAGGTTCTATATCTAAAAAAACCACCTTTTTTTTCAAATGTTTTCTGCTTTTGCTAGCTTGAAGATATTATTAAAAATTATTGCTTTGCCTTGTCCAGTTCTATTTGCTTTAGAAATTGGCATGACAACTGAATGTTTTTCTAGGATTTCAGAATTCTCAGCAGTTTGACTGAAGCCTTCTGCCCCTTGCAGATCGAATAGCCAATGTGTCTGCCTGCTGGAAGTGAGGCAGGGAGACCTGGAGAACTTGAGAATCTGCTTTGACAATGTTATAGCTGGGTCTGATATCACACATTAAACAGTATACAGAAACTGATTATCTGACACAGCAAACATTTTCTATTTTGAATTGTTGAAATTTTCCTTTTCAAGTGAGTCCAGTAAGAAAGCAGTGGCTTCCATGAAATTTATATCATCTGGCTAGCTTGTCTTTTTGCTAGATTTCTGGTGATAAGATAGAATCATGCTTGAAGGTTAAAGATTTTTCATTCTATAAGTATTAGAATTATATTATGTTCTTGTTTACAAATAATGAATTTTATAGTCTTGAATCATAATTCCTATAGGTGTGAAGTACCATGTATGAAAATTGTCATGAATTTGCTGGTCGGTTTTTTTTCAGAACTACATTCACAGGAAGTATTATTTTCCTGTTTTCACCTGTTTTGATGCCTTGGTTTTGTTTTGTTTTGTTTGTTTTTTTTTTTTTTTGTTGTTTTTTTTTTTTCCTGAGATAAGAAATTAGAGTAATTTTAGTTTTGCTTTTAGAAACACATTTGCATTAGTAATAAACCTTAGAAAAGTGCACAGGAATAATTAAGGGAAACAGTATTGTTGATTAGATGTTAAAACTAGTAGCTACAAAAACACTCAGCAAGCTCTACAAGTTAATGCCTTTATTATTTTAGGACTAGAGTTGCCCCCAAGATCTTCAAAGAAATATGAACGGATGCATTTCTCGCTTGCCATATGACAATTTACTTGCAAGTTTGTTTCACTTGAGTAGCCTTCACTCTAGAAGGAGAGTGTTGATGTTGGTATTTGTTCATTTGTCATGAAAGTCATACCTCTGAAATCATCAGTATGCTAGAATACAATAGGTGGCTGAAACTCTGTCCAGGCTTTTAAGTGCCAGGGAAATGGCTTCAGGGTATAATGTGAATAGAGCATCAATGAACTTCCATGGTCAGATAGTGCCATTTCAAGAAAGTCAATTTCCCACTATTATTTATAATAAGCCAAAAGACACTGAAACATATGGAGGTAAAAATTCTGATATGCAGACCATGTATACTAAAATGTGAGGCCAGGAGCTGAGGACTGAGGAATACAGCATGTCACTGTAAGAAAGTTTTCAAAAGAGACAAAATAGAAAAAGTGTTTGAAGGTGAGATGAAAAGAACGGAAAACTTCTTCCCATATGGTACCTGAGAGATTTGAAAGAAGACAAAGTTAAAAATCAGTATTCAAAATGTCATTTTGTTTTTCTAATTTTTGTCTTTGATCTTTGAAGACTTAGAAAAATATTTAGGGCTGACTAACTTCTCTAGTCAGCTGACAGAAAAATATAGCTATGCTTGGAACTGCATGATTGAGATTTATGAAGTTTCATCTTATATTAAACTAAAATTCTTCCTTCACTGTCAACCTTGTAAATTTCATTTTTATAAAAAAAGGATTAAAATTGTATTTAAAAAATAAAATATTTTTGGGGTAGGAATATCTGTCTGAAACATTTTGTATTCCTCCAACATCATGCAAAGTTAAATTCCCTCATTTAAGGAATAGAGCCATGTAAATACTATGAGAAACTCTGCCACTGCAGTTTAAAATCTCTCAAGATTATGACATTTAACATAGCAATGAAAAATGCTTGCTCTGGACATGTTTGTTAAGTGTCTAGAGGTTTTTACTGCTATGTAATCAAGTTTTTTATGCATGTACACATGGAAAGCTATGATATAATCAATGAGGCTTTGTAAAATACATGATAAAACTATTCCCTAAGTGTAATAAAATGAAAGCTAGAAGGAGAAGTGAATTTCCTTTCTTTTCTGAAATGCCTTTTTATAATACTGTTTTCATTGCCTTAAGAAAAGCAAATAAAATTATGCAGTATGTAAAATACAGGAAGAAACTGAATCTAACAAGTGACAGGGGAAATATGCTCCACATTCTAATGTTATATATTATAGTACATTCAAGAGATTTTATTGTTTTGATTTGGTTTACATTTGTGTAAGTAGTATAGATTTTTACTGTTGTTTTAAATGGAAGGTTTATAACATGTTTTTGTTGTTATGCTTGATGGGAAAGGGATGAGCAACTTAAATATTTGTTCTATATGGAAATATGTGATGTCGCTCTCTATTACATTGCTTGTCTGAACTGGGAGGATCATGAAACATGAAGAACATGCATGTAACATCCCTCAGTGTTTCACCCATTTACCCTCTAAAGCAGTTTGGTTATTTCAAGTTGCTCAAATTATGAATGTGGTTTGGGTTTTTTCTGTCTGCAGCAATGCTTCATCATTTATTTTGCAAATCATGTTCATCATGGGTGAAGTTCAACTGTAGCTTTCTATCTGAAATACAAGGCTGACTTCAGCCTTGTGGCAGAAAATGCAAAGTGTAATAGAAGTGCATGCCCAAGAGGAGCAGATGGGTTAGGAATTTGGAGGTGAGGTTGGAAGGATACTCAGTGTGAAAAGCAGGAAGAAATCTGGTATCAAAGGTGTCAGGAGGTAGCATGGGACCTTAAAATAAGGCAGGAAGTTAAATAGAAAGAAAAGGATATGCAGTAAATGAAGGGATAGTGAGCAAGGGATACTGGATTGGTAAGGAAAGCACTTCAGCACTGAGGGAAAAGTTAATTTTTGTCAAGAGCTTAACCATGATGTGGAATTTGATGCAATGGTGGTCTATATGTAGGCAACTTTACTGCTAAACTAATTTTTAGGTGGAGGGGTGCAGGGAGGGTGAAACTTAGATTTATTAAGTAATTTTAAAGTACATTTTGTGGTAGTGCAATTTTTAAAATGCAGACTACTATTGCACACTTAATGCACTTCTATTACTTTTTATAAGTCTTAGTTTAAAGAAAGAATTTCTATGTTTCACTGCTAAAACAAAGCTTAAAAAAGAAACTAAACTAAAATAGTTTCCAGTGCAAAAAATGTAGATCTCTTTCATGGAAGAACAATATGAATTGCCTCAGAGATCTGAAGAACAGTAAGAGAAAATTTACTAATCTATAAATGTCTTTTCTTTTGCTCCTAGGTTCAGATATTGTTCAATGGTTAACGAAGAATTTATCTATAGAAGACCCAGGTAATTTCTCTTGTTTTCTCGTCTTCAAATTCTAATTTGTTTTTTCAAAATTATTGAACCTGACTTTGTTTTCTGCTGTGGTGGGAGTGACAAGACGCAACATTTGACCAGTACAATTTCAATAGCAAAACAGACATAAAATCTTAGAAACCTTAACTAATGCTCTGAGGATTTTGATTATAAATTTTACTGCAGCAGGTATCAGGAAACAACATGAGAATGATAATTTTAGTTCTTTGGTAGAAAATGTGTTTGAGTGCATGAACGTGAGGAATTTACTCAGTGTTAAGCTAAAGAGTTTGTAAAATAAAGCTGTTTTCTTACAGAATTTTTCAATATACAAAAAATAACAGAACTATTAAAATACATTCTTATACTGTTGCCAAAACCTAATCTTCAATATGGACACTTCTCTATAGCATCTTAAATGGAAAATGAAATGCAAATAAACTCAGTGAAATGAGGAAGAACAGTTCATTGCTTGATCAGCTGGATTGGCACATGAAAGTAAGGGTTTGGTTCCAAACTCTGCCTTGGTTTGTTATATGCCCAGCAGGAAGCACAATTTGGTTATTGTATTTAGCTATTATTTATTTCCTGGATTTACAAGAGTCTAGTTACCTGATCAGAAATTTTCCATAAAGGAGTGATTTCTAGTAGGAAATGCTGAATTGTAGAAATAAAATATTCTATGGAGGTTTGTATTTTCTTTTGGTTAGAGGAAAAATAATCATCCTTCCTTAAAAATGATCAGAGATGATAAAAAAACTGGTTTTTTTCCTTGCTTTCTTTCAGTATTTTTTTTTTTTTTTTACTTTTTTGGGGGTCATTTTTGTCTTTATTTTTAAAATGTGTTTTCCTGTCAAATTAGAACTCAAAGTATGATCATTGCAAAAAGCAAAATCACTGTATTTAAAACATTGACTTGATCAACAAAGAACTATCAATACAGAATTGATATTTGGAAGCAGTCCGTTCACAGCATATTGACATGTTATGTGACAGAGATGACTACATTTTTAGCAAACTTTGAACAGTGTCATATGCTTGCTTCCTGGAGATACTGTGGAGGCTTCAAGTGACCTAAGTGTGATATTGTATTTCTCAGCTGTTGGCTACAAAACACTCACCTATCTGTATTTATGAGTTTGAAAGATTTTTAAGCTACGTTTATTTGATATGGAAGCTTAACCTTTATTTGTCATACCAGATCTGCAATACTGGAACAGGCTGTCCTTCAGATTACCTGCTTGTTGCAAAATTTGGAATAGAAAAAGCTTCTGCTAAACAGAAAACATGTCTCCTTGGTTCCTTATGTTCGTATCCAATTAAAATTAAACAAACACACAAACTACTAACATATGTAACCAAAACACCACAGTAATTTAACTGAATCTGGGTTTTATCCTCTCAGATTACATGGATGGAAAAGAAACTAGCCACAATAACAAAAATGTATTTTGGTCCTAGTCCAAAGTCATCTATCTGGAGCTGGTTAAATTCTGATCTTCAGAAAACAAATAGCTCTAAATACTTCCTTTGGGTAATGCTCAGAATTGCCAGATGACAGTGAACTTGACAGATGGTGAGCAAGAGTTTTTCACATGACAGGACTTCTGTTGTTTTTTCAAAATCCAAAAGTCTCGCTTTTCGTTTCAGTTTTGGACAAGTCAATCTAGAACCTCATGTAGAAAAGCCCTTAATTTCTGCAATCTGTTGTCACTGTAATTTGGATTTCCAGTGTCTTCTGATTGCTTTTTACCTGAGTGTTAGGGTTTAACTCAGTTGCCTTTTATACCTACCCTGTAGGGCCCTGTTACAAATCACTTGTGAAGCTACGCAGTTTTGTCATGCAGAAATAATAAATGCCTTAGTTTGCACTGAAAATTGTCATCTCTGTCTAAATCTAATATCAGCCACATACCTGGAAGAAGAACATAAAGTAGATTGGAGTGCATATTTTAAGATTATATTCTCCTCTGTCCAGAAAAATGAAAGGACTATTTGCACACCTCATCTACTAGTGCTGTGCAACTACTCATGCAAGCAAGGAGGGTAAATTTTGATTTAAGGGTAAGTAGAGAGATTAACAAAAGGGACAGGTTAGAAGGAACATCAGAAGAACATGTGGTCCAAACTTTCATGGAGAGGCAAGCCTGGGTGAGATTACTGAGCACTCTGTCCTGTCTCATCCTGAACACTGCCACTGATGGGAACTCCACTGGATACAGTGATTGTTTGTTCTCACTGTAAAAAATTTGAATAGATGAAACCTCTGTCCATGCAACTTGTATTCATTGCCCCCTATCCTCTCAATGTGGCTCCCTATGAAAAGAATTTCTGTCCTCTAAGCACTGGAAGAATTCAATGAGGTTCCACCCTGAGCCTTCTATTCTCCAGGGTGAAAACATCTAATTCTTACAGTCAACTTGTTCTTTAATAACACACAGAACTAGTAAGAAGAAAGTGATGCTACCACACTTTATATATATAAATATATATATATAAAAGTAATACTTTGAAATGCAATTTTTTCCTTTGTTTTGCCAAGGGAATACAACTTAAATACCATTTAAGTGGAAATGAAATAGGCAACATTATGGATAGTGGGAGAACATAAGGCAGAAGAAGGTTTGACAGCAACATTTTCTTCAGTGTGTTAATAAGTGTAAAGCTTTCACCTGGAAACAGCAATTTGGTAAAAAGTAGTAACAAGTTGGAACTTGTAAACTGCCAGTCAATAAAACCATGCAAATTTTTAATAAATGGAAAATAATATTCAGTAGAATATTTGAAAGATTTTGGCTTGCTGCAGTAGATCTCCATCAAGAAAATAAACTGGAGATGATAGGTGGATTCTGCTAATTTGTACCAGATTTGAAGTTATTTCAGTGGAACAGAGCTTGTGCCCAGAATAGCTGTGCACAACACAATGTACAGTTGCTGTTACATTGTTTGCTATTCAATATGTATTTAAAAAATGTTTGTGCTTCAGCCTACAATTAATCTGTAAAATTTTAAGGAACAAAAATTGTCCAAGTTATTTTTAATAGGGAAGTTTTATTCAGGCATAAATATGAGCATGATCTCAACCTGAAACGAAGCAATTAACTGAGTTTACAGAATCATAAGGGCTTGTGGTTTGGCACTTAGACATGTGTTGTTGAATTGACCATTACAGGGTAAGTGCTGACGCTTCACTGATGTTGCCAATTACTCTTAATGTGGAAAATCTACTCTGTTTTTCTAAATTGTTTTTCTTTTTTGAAGTGGTCATTAATGACGCGAAATGCACCAGACTGACCACATCAGATACTGAAATTCCTTTAATTCTTAGTGGGAAAAATAGAACAAAAAGAGTAAATGAGCTGATTTAAAGGTATCAGCTCAAATTCCCAAGAGTCTTGTCTTGTACTTGGATCTTGTACTGATTTCTTCAATGCCCTTTCAGCAAACGCTTGATTTCTCTATTCCCTAATATTCAACATCCTAATAGTAAATCATGCTGTTGTCTCCTAAATAAGAAGAAACAGTATGAGTTTTCCAGTCTTTCACAAGGAAATAGTGTTATTCACAAACACCCATTTCATCTTCAAGTCACTCCATGAAGAATTTTCATCTAGATGTCTCAGAAAATGCCTTTAAGTGTAGATAATATATTTAGACGTAATCCTCATGTTCCTTTAAAGTACCTTTATTCCTGAGTGTGGCTTATTTAATTTTCTTATAGCTGCAAACCAGCTGAATTTGGCTGTAGACACTTTATCTAATGATTGCTTAAGCAGAGTCATTGCAGCCGCTCTAGAATGCTCAACCTCAGCATTCACATTGCTTTGCTCCAGCTCATTTAGGCAGCCTGTTGAAGCAGTTTGTTACTGCACTTGGACATCAGGACTTACACTGAAGTCAAAAATATATATGACTAAATCTAAGTTTTATAGTTATGAAAAAGACTACCTTGATTTTTACACCCTCCTGCAATTTTTCAGCTTCAGTTCTTACCATTTATAGTCTTTTCGTGTAACTGGTGTAACTAATTTGTTACTACATGCCCATCAGCATCCATGTGAACTGTGGTCACTGATCCAGTGCAATAAGAAAAGTAAGGCTCAGTAGCACAACATCTGTTTATGTTTCTTCATTTTCCCTCTTCAGTAAAATCTCTCTCCAGCAGCTGGTGTACTAACAATGACCTTGAGAATTCACAGTACTTGTTTGAAAGAGTTAGAAGAAAAATGTTAGGGCTTTTATTTGAGTTTATGAAAGTTTACTTGAAAAATTGTTCGGTTCTCAATTTTGCCCTTTCCCCAGTTATATGCAGAAAGGTCCCAGCAAAGAGCAGGAGCCAGACAGGATGTTCTAAACAATTGCCATTTGGGAAACAGCACCAGAGAACTGCAAGCAAAGGGGAGGTACTTCCAGAGATTGCTAACAGAGAAAAGAATCTCTTGTGAGAAGGAATAAAAAAGGGAATAAAAAGGTCATGTTTATCTTTGCAGTCTTTGCACTAATCAAAACCTGTGGAAGTGGAGCAAGAGTAGAATGCTCCCCGTTTATTATCTTGACTTAAAAAAAATAAAACCCAACCCCCCAAAAAAGTAATTTATATTGCCTGCACACATATCATACCCCTCATACTGGGGACCCAAGGACATCAGAGACTCTCATTTTTCACATGTCTGATAGAAATTCAGGCACATTTTGTTCCATAGGAAACCTCACAAACCTTCGTCAATTCTGGTGTAACTAACTTCCCAACCTGCTTCTACTGGGTGAATTCGATCTAAGCTTGTCAGATCCTGTAACATTTCAATGGAGTAATGACTTTAACCTCAGATGCACAAAAAGAAAGTAGAACAAAATTCGGTTTGAGAATGGAAAATGTCAGATTTTTCAGACACTCCTTTAGTAGCAATAATATTAACATAGTGATACTCATGCGAAAATGTATGGGTCAGGTTTCCTATAATTATAAGCAGCATTGGGGTACTTACCTGTGA